ATATGAGACATGTAAAAACACAAATAAATATAAATTCTCGTGAAGTTAGAATAGTGCTCTGGGAAAAAAGTTTTAGGACGGAGGGAGTGATAGAGAGTAGCGTCACGATGGAACACTTGATTCGACCAAAAAGTACGTGGATATGTTAAAAACATTTTAAAAGTTTAATGCCGGAGTAGAATATTGTTTTGTTTAACAATTTCATGCGGATAAAAAGGGGTACGGTTCTTATTCCGAGCATCTTGTCGTAAACATTAATTATTATTATTAGCTTATATGGTAAGTTTATCGCATCAATATAATTAGCTAGTGAACACATAGACCTAAGTCCTATTCACCATCGGTGTTAATTAGAGGTTAGCCTTAACGTTTTGAAATAATCATTTGACAGTAGCGTTTGGCATTTTGGAAAAAGAATATCTGACGGTAGCATTAACGTTTTGGAAAAGTTAATGAACATCATTAAAGTTTTATTCAAAATGTTAATTCTAATCGAAAACAATGTTATCAAACAAGGTCCTAAAAACTGAAAAACTAATAAGTGAAACACCATAATGTTTTTTTAGTTGAAAAAATATTATGGTATTTAACTCAATTTTAGTTGGTAGTCTGGGAATTAGAACTGATAAGGGTGAACATAGTGAAATATCTGGATCTGATTCAAGGTTTGGAAAAGATTAGTCAACACATTTGATCTAACACGTAGGGCCCGTTTAGCAATAACATTTTTTTATTCGCGTTAGTCTTTTAGATAAAGTTTTAATGGTGCAAATTAACTTTGAAAACGCTAACGTTAAATGTTGTTTGCAGATAGTTTTTTCAAAACGTTAACGTTAGTTTATAATGCTATTCTTAAACAGGTCTATAGCTCCAAATTGGAAGCAGTAAATGAGGAATTACGTTCGCAATGCATTTTTTCTTTCAAAAATAAATTTAGAATGGATCCATAATCGATAATCCGATACCAATAGTCTAACCAGAACCGATATCATGTACACCTCTTCTGATTCCAGTTGCCAGTCTACCTTCAAAATGGCTGGATGCGGAACTAGACGTCTTGACCGGAACCAACCGGTGACCNCTAATTTAGAGCCCACAGGTGATCTTTAATCCATTTCTGGAATCATTTTACATGTTTAATTGAAACGGGCCACGGTTTTATTAGGGTGTAGCAGCCCAATAGCAGATGAACAACTCAGGTGGATCAGGCCCGATGATTAATATATGGATCTGGATTACGTGGCCTGGGGCTCGTGCCTAAGACCTGAGCCTATGTGGTATCCATGGGAGGATCTACATATTATCTTGTGGAGCGACCGAGTCAATTATTTTTCACATGACATTATTCAAGTACTATTTAGAAAATGAAAAATTTTATGTTAAATATTTGAAAATGACATACTTCGTTCGTTCCTATTTTGATTACAAATTGTGGATTACGAGGTAAAATCTTACGATTTTTAAAATCATTTTATTTATAATTTGGTACATAAATAATAAATGAAATTTACATGTTAAAAAACTATATCAAAATTTCTACAAAACAAAAGATGATGAGAATATTTTAATTTATCAAATAATTAGTAAACACACATAAACAAATAAAAGTTATCGAGAAGGAAGAGAAACTAAAATTTTAATCAAAATGGGAACTGAGGGAGTATATTTAAGTACTCCCTCCGTTTTTGAAAAAAGTTCTATTTTGACCAAGTGGTAAATTAAAGAAGTGTTAAATTCTAGTTGACTTTCAATTTTATCCTTGACGCAATAAGTAAAACTAAGAAGTGATGGATAAATTATTAGAAAATACTACGATGTGATAGATTGTGTAAGGAATACTAAGGGTAAAAAGAGTTTTAATAGAAATTGGACTTAAGAAAAAATGAATTAAGTCCCCCACCTTAGTATGATATCTTAGCTAGCTAGGAATCTCTTAGCTTTATCTTCATTTTAACATCGTTCTTTGTGACTCTCTCTCCACTTAGCTATTTCAAACAACTCCATTCTTCACCACGAACAAGGGTCGGAGCAAGAGTAAAATAATGGAAGTCCTCTTTATTCTCTTGTTAACTCTCTTCTCAACTCCCATGATCCTCCCGTCCCCGGCCGCCGCCGCCGCGGCCCACACCGACAGCATCTACGCGAGCTGCTCGCGGACGAGGTTCAACCCGGGGACGGTCTACGAGTCAAATGTCAACTCGGCGCTCGCGTCGCTGGTCAACTCCGCCAACTCGGCCACATTCAACAAGTTCAAGACCTCCCTCCCTGGGTCCACCGACCCGGACGTCGTCTACAGCCTATACCAGTGCCGCGGCGACCTCAGCGTCCCAGACTGCGGGACCTGCGTCGCCGCGGCCGTGAGCCGGCTCGGCTCGCTCTGCCAAGACACCTCCGGCGGCTCTCTGCAGCTCGAGGGGTGTCTTGTCAGATACGACAACGTGTCCTTCCTTGGGGCACCGGAGGACACGGTTGCCCTACAGAAGTGCGGGCCCACGGCCTCGTCCGGCGACGTGGTCACCGGACGAGAGGCCGTGCTGACGTACCTAACTCAAGGAGGGCAGTACTTCAGGGTGGGAGGGTACGGGCGGGTGCAGGGTATGGCGCAGTGCACGCAGGACGTGGACCCACAAAAGTGCCAAGATTGTTTAAGGAAGGCCATCGATGGGCTGGGAAGCGCGTGTGGGTCCGCCTCGTGGGGATACGTGTACTTGTCGAAGTGCTACGCGCGGTTCTCGGAGCGTGGGTTTTCGACAAAAAGCGGTAAGCCGCCGTTCCCTCGCGTTGCCCGGTGGTCGTCGTCGGCGTCGACCGTTTGTGGCTTTTTATTTATTTTAGGGTTTTTATAACTGTGATTATATTACGGAACATTACTATTATGTCACTTCGTACTTAATGAATTGATTCCATCCATCTTTTTTTTGTCTAAATTTAATCCATCTCTCTCATAACTAGTAAAAAAATATGGAGTATATGGTAAAAAACTTTAGAAATATTTACACTAAATATTACTAAAACTTAAGTTATTTTTCTAAATAGCACTTAAACTGTTTTATTCCATAAATAAGACTTAATAATGTCCAGAAGAATGAATAATATCTAGTGATGACGAATATTTACTTGAATAATGACTAATGGATAATGACTAAAAGTGCTACATTGGGAAAAAAACACATGTAGTGCTATTTAGAAAAAGTCATTATATTTTAATACTATTGAAGTAAATTTCCCTTATTTTAAACTACATATTTATTATCATAATAAAAAATACTCTCTCCGTTCTTGAAAACAATTCTCAGTTAGTTTAACCAGGTGCCAAAATAAAGAAGAGAAAAATTTTAAAAATTGGAACGTTCAAAGATATAAAAGTTAAAAATGTTTTAAGGGGATAGAGGAGAAGTTAGTATCAAATTTGTTTCGACTAGTTCCACATATATATGTGTTTGCCATGCTAATGCTTATTATGCCTTTTTTTTATTAGGAGAGTATTTTTTGTACACTAAACTTTTACATTAAAACTACGGAATATATGAGCACCTTTTTGGGGCAAGTGGGATCTGAGATCGGATTATTATATACTCATCCATGCTAAGGAATTCAATAAATGGAATATGGACTTAAAGATATGTATAGATTCGAGCTCAATTCTTGATAACTATGCTGGGAGGCAATTATGCTAAATATATGACATCTTCAAGTTTTCGGTGTAGGCTTTATTTCCTGTCACCAATCTACGATTAAAATTCAATTTATCCGACTAATTAGGTTAGCGGAGGCCTTCAGGATGAGGCTTGTCCTTGAGTAAATGGAAAATGTTTTAAGGGACACGTACAACTTTTTCTCTTTCATTTAAATAGATGGCTCATTTATGCAAGAACAATTAAATGGTTATATATATGCATGCAATTCATCTTTACCTCTTTGATAGAGATTCTTTATTGAAAAGCAACCCCACTAAGGCCTAAAGTGTAGAATCATTGCCCACTAGGTAGCAGCTCTTGTGCCAAAAGGTTGAGTCCCCCCTAGCTAGCTCATTTGATAGTGTGCTGAGAGAATAAGAGATATAATATCTATTATCCTCTCCATTCCAAAATAGATTACACAGTTTTCATTTTGGCCATTTGATAATTTTTACTTTGTATTTTTTTATGTTTTTATTAACCATTTGATAATATAAAATATTCTTGTCATTATTTATTTTGTACCCCTTCCGTCCCAATTATATTTAAGTTGCAGGTTAATTATTCACATGGTCAAATTTTAACCACGTTCTTTACCCATTTTTGTTACCGATTGAGAAAATAATATAATCTTGTCGCTTCTTGTTTTGTAGAATTTTTGATATAGTTTTTAAATATAGATATATAAATTTTATTTGTTAATTCCATACTAATTTTTAAATGAGTTGAATTAAAAATAATTTTAATTAACCCTCATAAACAACAACAGACGATTCTTTTTACGACAGAGTGAGAAAAAATATGATGTGATAGGTAGGTTAAGAATTACTCCGTAATTAATAAGGATAAAAGTGACTCTTTAATAGGAAAAGAGAAGAGTTTTTTGAGACGGGTGAAAAAGGAAAGGGAAAGAATTTTGTGGGACGGAGGGAGTATTATATTCTAATATGTCCCTTCACGTGCAAATAAGATTTATCTTTTTTGTACGAATCTTGCACGTAAATATTACTCCCACCGTTATCAAAAACACTTCCTCTTTCATTTTTTCCACTTCCAACAAAACACTTCCCCTTTCTATTAAAAAACTACTTTTACCCTTACTTTTTCATACCCTACCTATCACATCATACTTTTTCTCTAATAATCTATCCATCACATCTTACTTTTACCCATCACATCAGAGACAAAATTGGAAATCAACTATAATTTAATACTTTCTTATTTTTGCCCCTAAATCAAATGGGAAGAGTTTTTCCAAACGGAGGGAGTAAGAAGTAATTAATTACTCTGCTCATATACAGTAGATGAAAAAGGTGGAGAAATGGAGAGAAGGCTTGCAATCACGATTGGGATCATTGCTGGCGTGGCAGTACTCCTCATTCTCCTCTCAATTTTATTGAGAAAACTATGTCAACCCAAAGGTACGTATTTGTGATAGGAGTAGAGAAATAATTAAATAATTTTATCAAACAATAATAAAGAATAATGGAACACACACACATATATATATATCTGTGTGTGTATATACACACACACACACACACACACATATATATATATATATAATTAGAATATAAGAAATATTTAATGGGCCACAACCACAAGTTTAAACTTTTAGTTGAATTAGTTCTTTGACATGATATCAGAGGCTTGTTGATTAGTTTCGTAAATAATTAATACATTTTTTTCTTTATTTTAAACATATTATATTCATCATTTTTTATTTTCCAACATTTTCAAAAAAAAAGAAGATCATGTATGGTCAAAGATTAATTTAATTTAGAAAAGTATGACTGTATGAGGGAGGCTAGTAAGAATATACTCCCTCCGTTCCACAAAACACTTCCGTTTTAATTTTTTGCGCATCTCATAAAATACTTCTATCCCACCTAAAATGTCTAAAATACCCCTAAAACAACTTCTACCTGCAATAAACTACATAGTGGGGTATATTTTAGATATTTTAGGTGGGAGTAAAACCGTTTAATGAGATGTGCAAAAATTTAGGGCGGAAGAGTTTTAAGGAACGGAGGGAGTATCAATTAGAATAGCTTTGATTTATTTACATAGTAGTAGACCATATGCACTAAAAATAAATGTAAGTTTGGTATATATTGACCTTGCTCTCTTCTTTATTTTGAACTTTGCAGGTTGGAAATAAAGAGAAATAAATTAAATTTGTGGATATAGAAGTAGGAAATCAAATGGGCATATCATATTGTTCATTAATTAATTACTTTGTGTGTGTAAATTGTTTGGCATCTTTGTTTTTTTTCTGTCATTATTTTGTCTGATTTTCATCTCTTTAATTAATCTTTAGAAAAGGGGTGTGTTTTTTAATTTTGAGGACGTGTCATTGAATATAAAAGCTAAAGGAAATCAAAGGGCAATGAAAAAGTTGAGGTGCTAAAGATTGTCACTTTACTTTAGGAATGAACCTTTTTCTTTATGAAAAATGCTAGGGGTACACCTTTTGGTGTATCCCATATGTCCCCTACTTCCTCCTTGTCCACTAAAAAAGGGAAAAAAATTTAAAAAAAAAATAAGTAAATAAAAATCAAATAAAAATGTGTGATGAAGAGGGGGTGGTGTACATTTGGAGTACACTTTTTGGTGTACCTCTAGCATTGCTCTTTTTTTATTTTTGGTAGTGGGCGTCTTTTATGTACGGAGTAATTAATTTGGTTTCACTATTTTTGTAGGGTAGCGTTTAAAAAAAAAAATTATCTGACGACTGACGATAGTCTTTAATGTTTTCAGAATGAATCTAAACCGTTAAAATTTTATCTAAATACTAACGCTAATTAAAATGTTGTTTCCAAACAAAACTTTAATCCTTCCGTTGAGGTTGAGGATTTGACCATTTCGGGACCAATGTTGGATCGATGATCTCTTTCAATATTTAATCTTCTAAGTGTACTAGAAACATGATTGGTCTTAAAAGACATGTATGACTAGTCATTAAAAAAATGCATTTTTATATATACATTACTAGAATCTTACTTTCGATAATCTCTCTAGAGATGTAAAATTAAAATGGAAACTATCATAATAATATTTTGATATTCGAAAGTACATATAATTCAAAATGTTTTTTTGCTTGTAATATAATTTTTACTTCACGAGAAAAAAGTAAAATAATATGCAATAGAGCCGGACAAACCTCACAAAAAATGTTACTACCTTTGTCTACGGGACGAGCTAACGGGCACTCCTCCCTTTCTCATCGGCATATCGTAATCATCAATTCAGTGATTATGGCAGGACTATATAATGAGTTTCTATATGCATTGGCTCTCAAAATCTCATATGCCTTGCTACATTTAGTGTTGTTGGGATCTTGTTTGCTTCCCTTAAATCAGTTCTCAAAACCCCGTATACAGTATACACTAATATTTTAGTGTTTATAATTATTTGAGTGCCTGAACCTATATATTAAGTTAGCTTTTGGATTGATTTGAGTTTAAGTCTATTATTTCACATGTTTCAAAGCTAAGATCATTGATTGAGAACTTGCAAAACCTGAAGTAACTTCATACAGAGTAGTTAATTTTTACAGTCGATTTGAGGAGCTTTCATTATTATTTTTTAATAATTACATCTGTATATGAATAAATGACACCAAGAATAAAAACTTCATATATCAAAACTGCATCTAAAAAATAAATTCAATTAATCAAAGATATAGCATTGATAGAGATACTATCTCTCACCAAATGGCCCATAAATAATTTATCCCCATGCCTCCAAACATCATTGTTGTGGGCTTTTGTTTTTAAAATCGAGTTCGGCCCATTCTTTAAACGACAGACCAAAAATTTTCTTGCACAGACCAATCACTCGCAGATTTTCTTCTTCACACTCCAGTTTCCCATTCCTTTTCCCTTTTGCAATCCATTTTTTTCGTATACCCAAACTCGCAATCTCAGAAAATCTACGATTTCTACTGCAAAGATCAGAACTTCATCCTGAATCCAGCAGCTTCATTTGATTCTGCATTTTCTTGAAGAACATCTTCTACCCGGGCTTGTAAATTTCTTCTTGTAATTCGTCAGATAATGGACGACGTGAAGGGTAAATTCAAAGGGTTCATGAAAAAAGTCAACAATCAGATATCTTCATCTTCTTCTTCTGGAAAATTCAAGGGCCAAGGCAGAGTTTTGGGGTCGTCTTCTCCCGGACCGGCCACCAATTCGACTCCAAGTTATTCGAATTCAAGCTCGACCCGACCCGCGAATCCCAGACCCGTTCCGCATCAGCCAAAGACTCGGGAACAAAAGGCCGATCAAAACCATGAATTCCGGGTCAACCCGGAGCAGAAATGCCATCAAAGACCAGAAATTCCCGGTGCTGATCAGAGAGATGGGTTTGATCCGTACGGCTCTTTGATCACCTCTGGTAAGAGAAACCCTAATGGCTATGAACTGAATGTGTTTGAATGCCCTGTTTGTGGAAGAGGTTATGGTTCAGAGGAAGAGGTTTCTGCTCATGTGGACACCTGTTTGAGCGCAGAAATGAGCAAAGCTTCTTCCTCGCCCAATAATGGCGCGGAGGAGAAAAGCGAGCTCGAAATGCTTGTTTCTTCTTATATTTCCAGGAGCAAAAATGGGTCTCAGGAAGTCATGGTTAAGCTTTTGAGGAACATTGTCAAGGAACCCGAGAACGCAAAGTTCAGGAAGATCCGAATGGGGAACCCGAAGATAAAGGAGGCCATAGCTGACGTGGCGGGAGGCGTGGAGCTACTGGAGTCTGTGGGGTTTGAACTGAAAGATGAGGATGGGGAAGTGTGGGCTGCCATGGATGCTCCACCCGAAGAAGAAAGGGTTGTTTTGCTTAAGAAGACGCTCTCGCTGCTGGACCCCGCCCAGCCTCAAAAAGACGAGAACATTAGATCTTCGGATCTTGCTAAGGCAGATGAACCAGCTGAACCAAGAAAAATTGATAGACAGGTATGCAGTTTGCATTGATGCCAAGCATAGTCTTTTGCTATTCTATCTTGCATTTGTTGGTAACTTGTAATAAAGTATTATAGTATGTTTTTTAATACATGTTTGTTAGTACTTTTGCTTCAAAGATTTGCATATTTTGTTGAAGAAGAAAGCTCTTATTGATATGTCACTTAATGTAAGTGTACGAGTAAACAACAACAAACCCAGTAAAATCCCGCAGAAAGTAGGGCACCCATACTTAGAAGTAGAGACACTGTTTCGAAGAGATCCCGCCTTTGAACGTATTAACACGAACAAAGTAAGAGTGCTTATACAAGACGCACACATACCAACGCTAGTAACTAGAACCAAATCATAGAAAGTACACATTCACATGCTACAGACTAAAGCAAATACAGACACCATCCTAAACTACATAGATTGGCGTATGAGTAAATAAGGCAATTGGTCATCTTATAGACCATGTGTAGCGGGCTTTATGCCCCTACCATGGAGCCCCCCTACACTACCCCCAAGGCTTTATGAGCAAAAAAATGTAAATGGCGTTACCAGCATAGCGCCACCCCCCTTCTCCCCCACCCAATCACATTTAATCTCTCTCTCTCTAATAATTAAAAAAAATATTGAAAAACAAACTATGTAATAATGAAGGGGCTTTATGCACTACACCATTATAACGTCATGGAGCCCCTGATGAGGTGGCCACCACATGGCAGATAACGCCCCTCTCGGAGTCTTGGGGCTCCATGACTACACATGGTATTAGCAATGTCTCTTTTCTTGTTATGAAAGTATATGAACCACTTTCCATGTGAAGAAACAATTAGAGAAGGGATTGTGATATTATATTTCTCTTTCTCTTCACCCCTGATTATGTATGTTTATCCCCCTGTGTGTTTGGAAATTGTCTCTCTTCATATTTAGGCTTCTATTTTACATACATACATACATTTCTTTATTTAAAACAGTTCTGGCCATGCTCATATGTCCTAACACAAACATGTCTAAACTTGACACTTCACCGTAGTTTAGGGGAGGGTATAGCTCAAACACGCACAACACAAACTAACATGTCATAGCCATGCTCATTGTTACGTACTGTTCGTTCCATAATTTTCTCCCTGTTTGACTTTTCATGAGTTCCGATGCAACACTGCGATCATTACCCAAAGCTTGACTTTCTAAAATTCGCTAGATTCGGGTGTTCTTTGCCGTGCCTGAAAGTGTGGCAGCCAAAATCGACCTGCCGGATTCTTTTTTCAACCTGTCACCGGAGGAGTTGAAAAGAGAGTCGGAAACGAGGAAGAAGAAGATCGAAGCGTCCCAACTTTTGATTCCCAAGTCTTACAAGGAGAAGATGGCAAAAGCGGCAAAGAAGAGGCACGCGAGAACCGTCATCAGGTTCCAGTTCCCAGATGGAGTGGTGCTTCAAGGGGTGTTTCTTCCATGGGAGCCAACCACGTCCCTTTACGAGGTCCGTCCTTTCATTCTTCTCTTCTTTTCATATCAATCGTAACGAATGTTTTGTTTAAAACAACAGTTTGTGAGCTCGGCGTTGAAGGAGCCGAGGTTGGAGTTTGAGCTTCTGCATCCGGTGGTGGTTAAGAGGCGGGTGATTCCACGTTTCCCGGAAGGAGGAGAGAGAGTGAGGACGCTGGAGGAGGAGGATTTGGTGCCTTCGGCATTGATAAAGTGCAAGCCCGTCGAGACTGACTCTGTCGTCTTCACCGGTCTCTCTAATGAACTGCTCGGTACGAGCGAGCCTCTTGTGTAATACTCCTTCTGTTTCACAAGACACTTTCGTCCTAATTTTTTGCGCACCACGTAAAACGTTTCTACTCCGCCTGGAATGTCTAAAATGCCCTCAAAACAACATCCACTCTGAATAAACTACGAAATGGGGGAGTGTGCTTTTGACGTTTTAAGTTGGATAGAAGTGTTTTGAAAGATGACACATTACCTAAAAGATGACACGTTCCGAAGTGTTTTGTGAAACGGGGGTGAGTAATATGACATACATAAAAAGAGTGGTATATAGCCACCACCTAAAATATGTTGCGGAGCATTGATGATGATGGGTGGGCTATGGATAGATAGATATTCTTCTTCCTTGTGTCAAATTACTCACTCGATTTAATTCATAATAATAACAATTGCGTGTACAGTTGTAGTACTTGTTGGGCGGTGCTCCTTGGACCACACGGCAAGAAGGAGAGCAAATCCCATTCTAAGTGGGATTGCTCTTGATTTGTTTCCTTGTTCATATTTAGTGATTTGTTTCCTTGTAGGAATAGAATTCCTTTTGTGTTTTGGTCTTTATCCTCTCCTATAAATAAAGGAGAAACTCCTTGTACTTAGGAGAACAATTCAATATACAGAATATTTTTTCCCTCTTATCAAATTCTACATGGTATCAGAGCAAGATTCCTAGGGAAAAACCCTAATCTAGACATACGACGGTCCATCACCGTCCTCCGCCGGTTCAAGCCTGTCTTCCGCCGGATCACCGACATCGACCGCCGGACTATCCTCCTCGACCGTCGACATGGCAGAAGTAGAAGAAAATCTCATCGGCAAGCTTTTCAATGAGGAAGAAAAAATCCCTACGAAGGGAAGTTCTTACGAACTCAAGAACGCAGACACACCTGGATTAATTATCACCCAAGTCAAACTAAACGGTGATAATTATGAAGAATGGGCTCGTGCAATGAGAATTGCATTCCGTGCAAAACGGAAAATTGGATTCATCGACGGATCCAT